TGCCCAACCTTCCTTCCGAGGAGTGGCTGGTGGGTTTGAACTGCCAGCCATCTGGTTAGTAGGCAAGTGTCTTAGCCACTATGCTACCAGAGCTCCCACATAATGGAATACTATACAGTATTTACCTGAGGTAGACACACTCCGTGGAGGGAAGAATCATGGGAGAGAGAAGGGCTGCTTATGCACCGGGAGACAGCTCAGGGCAGGGGTGCGTGGAGGGATGGACACAGGGAAGAGGTAACATGGGGAGGAAGTGGGAGGGGAGCTGCTGCATTGTGGTGAATTGTGGTCAGTGTTATGAGACAACGTGTGTGTGAACTGCTGTATGGAAAGTGAATTTGCTCTGTAAACTTTCACCCAAATCACAATGAAAATTAAAAAAAAAAAAAATTTAGAGGTTCGAGTTCACCCAGATGCACCTTGGAAAAAAAGGCTTGATGATCTACTTTTGAAAAATCGGCATCAAAAACCATACGGAGCACAGCTCTGCTCCAACACAGGAGCTCTCCGTGAGTCAGAGTCGACTCAGTGGTAACTGGTTTATATAAGTTTGATCCCATTTGCAAGAAGTTTAAAATTCCCATAACTAAAGTATATCTTGCTCATGGGTTCATATGTATGTGTTCACTGTATAAAGACATGAATGGCAATAATGTACACCCATGTCGAGAAAGAAGAGGAAAAGGAGGGTGATCAGGGGAGGGTTGTCTTGGGTGCTGGGTTCACCGATGTGGATTATATTATCTTTTGGTGTGTTTAAACATTTCATTAAAATAAAGAAAAATTATTTGAAAACGTTGGCTGCAGTTGGATGAGAACACTTTCTGGCTGCATGAGAAAGGAGAAAGCTCTGGCATTAGGGAGGTGGGAATCTGGGCGAGTGTAATACCAGTGCCCTGGCTGTTCACAAGTGGATGGGCAGGCGTCGGCTGGCTGTGATGGGACCTGTGTTGCAGGCTTCGTGGTCCAGGGCTCCAATGGCGAGTTCCCCTTCCTGACCAGCAGTGAGCGCCTGGAGGTGGTGAGCCGCGTACGCCAAGCCACGCCCAAGGACAAGCTCCTGCTTGCTGGCTCTGGCTGCGAGTGTAAGGCCATAATGCCCAGGGCCCTGGGGGTGGCTGAGTGTTGGGGATCAGGCCCCTTGGCTCTGGGAGTTGGGTTCAGTCTGCTTGTTTTGCCTCTTCTGAGACACGCTAAGGCATCCCTTATCTGTCCCGGGGTCTTAGCCCACGCCTTTTGTCTCCTGCTTTTGCCCTCCATGACCCATAGGGAAAACTCCCTCTCTCCTCCTGCAGCCACTCAAGCCACAGTGGAGATGACCGTGAGCATGGCCCAGGTTGGGGCTGATGTGGCCATGGTGGTGACCCCTTGCTACTATCGTGGCCGAATGAGCAGTGCTGCCCTCATTCACCACTACACCAAGGTGAGTATGATGTATGGGATGGATTTGAGGCAGACAGTGAGAGGAGGCTGGATGAGGTAGAGACAATGCTGGGAGATAGAAAAGGAGCAAGGGTTGGTAATGAGCCTTGTTGATGTGTCCATTGAGTTGATTCTGACTCATAGTGATGTGACAGTAGAACTGCCCCATAGGGTTTTCTTGGCTGTAATCTTTAAGGGAAGAAATCACTAGGTCTTTTCTCCTGCAGAGCCACTGGTGGGTTTGAAATACCAACCTTTCAGTTAGCAGCCAAGTGCTTAACCACTGTGCCACCAAGGTTCTTTGGTGATGAGCATACTTCATATGAATAGCAGCTGTAAGATGAGTGTGGAATGACACCATGTACCAGCTGTGTGACATTGGTCAGTTATCCTAACCACTCTGTATTGTTGTCTCCTCCCCCAATAAAATGGGAAGAATAATGGTCTCTTCCTCATTCAAGCTCTGGTGGTTGTAGTGATTAAAGCATTTTGCTGCTAACAAAGAGGTTGTTGGTTCGAACCCACCAGCTGCTCCACAAAAGAACAATGAGGCTGTCTGTTTCCATAAAGATTTACAGCCTTGGAAACCCAGTGGAGATTGTTATGAGTCAGAATCTACTCAATGGCAGTCAGTTTGGTATTTTGAGTTTCATCGTATGTTTATTGTAAGGATTAAATGAGATCACAAACATAAAGGGCTTAGAATGGCACATAGGAAACTATTATCTCTTATTATTGTTTACAATTGGGGTCCACAGCACTTGTAGGTTATAGTTAATGCGATGATCTGTCCATTTGCCTTGTAGCGGCCCGGGCTGGATCTTTGTTTGTAGTGGGCAAGTGCTCAGGCTCTCAAGGCCTAGACAGTTCCCATTTCTCCCTTTTCTCTGCCCCCTTTAGGTTGCTGACCTCTCCCCAATCCCTGTGGTGTTGTACAGTGTCCCAGCCAACACGGGGCTGGACCTGCCTATGGATGCAGTGGTCACACTGTCCCAGCACCCGAATATTGTGGGCATCAAGGACAGCGGTGGTGATGTGAGTGGCAGGCTGCTCCCTGGCCAGGGCACGCCTCACCCTCTCTGGGCCCTAGCACTTTTGCTACCAAAGTCAGAGCAGCTCTAGAACCCACTTCCTCCTGGGCACCTGTTTGGGTTCTCTGTCTGTGCTTGGGCACTTCAGCGATTTGTCTGAACTTCGGGGTATCTGTCTGGGAATGGGGCTCTCCTACGACAACACTTCCCCAGCCTTTGCTCCAGCTTGAGGGCCAGGGCTCCGAGCCCAGCACTCACGCCAGGTTTACTCTTGCAGGTGACCAGGATTGGACTGATTGTTCACAAGACCCAGAGGCAGGATTTCCAGGTGTTGGCTGGGTCTGCTGGCTTCCTGCTGGCCAGCTATGCCTTGGGTAAGCTGCCCCCTGCTCTCTAAGTGTGATGGATGCCCAAGATAAAACAGGTCAGCTGAGGTCTGACCTCAGAGACACGTCCTGAGGGCTGGGGCTTGGGCTGCAGAAGGCATTTGCCAGGCACCTGCCCTGAAACCTCAGGAATCTGGCCACTCTGCTTGCCTTTCCGCATACTGGATGCTGTGAGTGACCTCGGTGGGCATGGGGTGGAGGGTGGCAGTGTACAATGTCTGGCCTGCACAATGCCTGTAGGGATGCCTATAGTTTGTTCTGAATCCCAAGCTGCCTTCCTAGGTGGCAAATTTAGCTCCTCTAATTTGGAAGAATACACCTTAGAACCAAGGATGGCGATGCTTTGTCTTATGTATTTTGGATATAGTATCAGGAGGGACCAGTCCCTGGAGAAGGAGGTCATGCTTGGTGAAAAAGAGGAAGACCCTCAACAAGATGGATTGACACAGTGGCTGCAACACTGGGTTCAAACACAGCAATGATTATGAGGACAGTGCAGGACCGGGCGGTGTTGTGCTTTGTTGTACTCACTATGAGTTGGAACCAACTCCACAGCAGTGCGTTTCAATCTCATCTAGTTAGGAGCCCTGGAAGCACAATGGTTAGGCACTGAAAGATTAGTGGCTCAAACCCACCCAGCAGCTCTGCGGGAGGAAAGACCTGGCATTCATCTCCCATAAAGATGACAGCTTAACGAAACCCTCTGGGTCAGTTCTGCTCTATCCTATAGGGTCACCATGAGTCAAAATTGACTCGATGGCACACAACACAATAATCTCATCTTGTACATCATTCTCTGATGGTCATTCTCTGATGGTGGTGGCCTTGGGCCCCTTCCTTTAGTGTAGGAGTCACGTCCCTCTCCCCCGACCCCAGAACAGAACAAACTGTCAGAATGAACCTGTGGGGTTAGGCCAGGCATCTCAGCTGCCTGATCAGATTCTGTTCCTGGCCAGGTTCCCAGGAAAGTCCCCATTAGAACAATTGCTTTTGTCTGGTTTGGGGCAGCGGCTTGGGTTCCCGCTTGGATTTGAGCCCTGGAGAGGAGGGGCAGGGAGCATCTGCTCCCATCTGCTGCAGTCGCCCCTCCTCCACTCCCCACAAAGTACAGATTTTAGCAAGCTCCCCAGAGCTGCTGAGGACTGTGCTGGTTCCTCTCTGGTCTCTGCCGACTTTGGTTTGTTGTCTAGATCCTTGCACATCTCCCTCTGCGATGCCATGGTCTCTGACTTGGAGGGGAAGAAGGGAGGACCATTTCTGCCCCATTCCTGAGAATGGGGTGGGTGGAAAGAGCACTGGCTCTGCCAGACCAGCAGATCTGAGCTGGAATCTCAGCCTTGTCATTTATTTGCTGAGTAATTCTGGCCAAAACGCAACCTCTCTGGGTCTGAGTTTCTACTCTGTAAGGCAGGCAAGGGCTGGGAGGACTAGAGAGGCCCTGGGATAGTGCCACGGTGGCTGGCATGTAGCAGGTATTCAGTAAATGGCAGCTGCTTGTACTCATTCTTCGTTGCCAGCTCTTTCTCTCTCTAGCCTTGAGGTCACTCTGCCTTGGGTCACTCCTAACTAGCCTTGAATCACACTCACAGGCTAGCAGAATTGGCAGGGCCTTCTCCGATCACAGCCAACACATCTCTACTGCCCAGAAAAGAACAAAGAGGACCAGAGAGGATCTGTGACGTGGCCGAGTTCACACAACCCATGGGAGGAAATGCCAGATCTCCTGACTCTGTGTCCAGAGTTCTTTCCAGCCACCCCACCCCCACCCCACCTGCGTCCCAGGCTAGATCCACTGGGGGGAATAAGATTTCAGAAAAGCAAAGACATCCATCCACTCACCTCCTTCCTGGACTGATGAGTCAGAGGCTATTGGAGGAAACCTGGAGGTGTGAACTGGCAGGTGGTACTTTACTAGGGGGACAGGATGTGGGGGCAGGAAAAGAACTGTCCTTAGCCTTTTGGCTGTGCTCCCTGCCCCTCACAAAGCACTACTGGCAGCACTCAGCATGCAGGCTTCTGCTCTGAACATGCAGGCAGCTTTCCTCTGTGGAAATCTGTACTCTGTGGATTCGTAAAGCTCACCTTTGATATGGTCAACCAGTGCCACAGAAATTGCAACTTGTCTCCCCAGAATAGAGGTGCCAGGGGGCCAGGCTTCTGCATTCTCTGGGAGAAGAGGCTCTGGTGATGATGTGCCTCTCATTTATTCTGGGGCAGGAGCTGTGGGGGGAGTGTGTGCCCTGGCCAATGTCCTGGGATCCCAGGTGTGCCAGCTGGAGCGACTCTGCCTCACAGGGCAATGGGAAGACGCCCAGAAGCTGCAGCACCGACTCATTGAGCCAAACACTGCGGTGAGCTCCCAGCCCAGGGCAGCAGGGGTCGGGGGGAGGACTCTGCCTTCGTTGGAGCGAGAGCCAGGGCTGGCACAGGGATCCCACTCAGTCTTTCTCAGAATGTCGTTCCCAGTGTGGGAACTGCACACAAAGGTGAACTCTTTTGCTTCTCACACTGAAGAGTGCATTAGCACTCACTTGGGGAGCTAGTTAAAATTCTGTTTCTTTAGGTCTGGAGTGGAGCTCAGGAATTTCCCCTGAAACTAGCATCCTGGGTGACTGTGACAGAAATGATCTGCAAGGGGTAGCCCTAGAGATGTACCACCCTCAAACGAGTGAACCATGGGGCTTTCAATCAGCTTTATCAGGGCCAGATCCTGAAAAACAGACTGTTGGAAGTAGCAGGGAAGGAGTTGGGAACCTGGAGGATAATCCTGTCTTTAAATAGTCTGTTGTGTGGTCATACTATGCATCCCAATTCTGTGTTGGACAAAATGAGGAGAAGAACCTAAGACGTCAAGAACCTGCCAAGTGTCAGGTACAGTTGTATGGAACCATACTGGACTCAAGAGACAAAAAAAAAGAAAGAAAGAAAGAAAGAAAAACATGTGCCCCTATGTACCTAGTTTATGTGGGTTTTTTTTTGAGATAATTGTAGTTCACATAAAATTGTAAGAAATATACAGAGAGATCCCATGTACCTTCTATTCAGTTTTCCCCAATGGTTACATTTTATCAAACTATAGTGCAATATCACAACCAAGATATAGACATTGATACAGTGAAGATACAGAACATTTCCATCACCACAAGGATTCCTCGTTACCCTTTTAAAGCTACACCCCCTTTTCTCATTTCGTTTGTTTACAGCACTTCTTTTAGCCATTCTTACAGGTTGGCTGACGACAAATTCTCTTAGTTTTCCTTCATATGAGAATGTCTTGATTTCTTCATTCCTGAAGGATATTTTCACAGACATAGAATTCTAGGTTGATACTCTTTTTTTCTTTCAGCACTTGAAAAATACACCGCTTCCCTCTGGCATCTCTGGTTTCTTGTGAGATCTGCCGTCATTTTAGGTGTTTTTCCTCTGTCGTAAGGTGTTATCTTTCTCTCACTGCTTTCAAGATTTTTTTTTCACGCTCTTTAGTCTTCAGAAAGGAGCTCTGGTGGCATGGTGCCCAAGGCAATTGAGTACTAACCAGAAAGAGGTTCAAACCCATTAGCTGCTCCGGGGAAAGAAGTTGGGGCAATCTACTTCTATAAAAGATGTACCACCTTGAAAACCCATTGCGGGTCACTATGAGTTGGAATCAACTCGGTGGCAGTGGGTTTGGTTTTGGTTTTCAGTCTTCAGAAGTTTGACTATAATGTGTCTTGGCCTGGATTTCTTTGGGTTTATACTGATGGGGTTCACTCACCTTGAATCTGTAGGTTTATGTCTTGCCAAATTTGGGGAGTTTACAGCCATTATTTGAGTACTTTTTCAGTCCCATCCTCTTTCTCCACTCCTTTGGAGACTCTTAAGACACAAAGGTTAAACCTTTTGTTATAGTCCCACAGGTCCCTGAGGTGCTGTTGTTTTTTGGCTGGTTTTCAGAGAGAGCGACTTCCGACTTCTGTTGTTCTGTCTTCCAGCCCGCTGATTTGTTCCTTCTGCCCTTGACCCCATTCTTTGAGTTTTTAATTCTAGTTACTGTATTGTTCAGCCCTGAAGTTTCCATTTGGTTCTTCTGTATATCTTCTGTTATTTCTTTGCTGAAACTTTGTATTTTTTCATTTGAGTGTGTTCATGTTTGTTTGTTGAAGTATTGTTATGATGGCTGCTTTAAAATCTGTCAGATAATTCTAACATCTCTTCTGACATCTTACTGTTGGTACCTATTGCCTTTCTTTCATGCAATTTGAGATCTTCCTGGTTTCTGGTATGAGAATTATTTTTCCTTTTTTAAAATTGCTGTGAAAATGCAGATAACCCATTAACCAATTCAGCATTTTCCAGGTGTACAGTTTCGTGGTATCAAAATTATATTAATCATGTATGTGCAACCACCACCCATGAATGTTTTTTCTATTGAAACCTGTACATTTTGGATATTATGTCATGAGACTGGATCTTATTTAAACCTGTTTTAGCTGCCTTTCTCTGATACCTTTCCAGCAGGGAAAGGGGAAGCCCCATCCCATTACTGCCAGATGGAAGTAGGAGTCCAGTGTCCCCATTCAACCTCCCTTGACAGTTGAGAGAGTGCCTTCTTACTGCTAGGTGTTGGGGGGAGTTCTGGTTCTCCATTAGGCCTTCACTGATATCTCCCTAACTGGAAGGGGTAGGAGTGCCTCATGACTGCTCCCTTGACATCACGTGTGTAAGAGGGGATGGCCTTCTTATGGGTGAAAGTCTTGACTCTTTACTAACCATCTTCTGACTCCACCCCTGTGGGGGAGAGGCACCCAATGCTGAACCTGAAAAACCAAACCCACTGCCAGTGAGTCAATTCCAACTCATAGGAACCTTAAAGGACAGAGTAGAACTGCCCCATAGGTTTCCAAGGATGTAATCTTAAAAAAAAAAAAAAAAAATTATTGTGATTTGGGTGAGTTTACAAATTCATTTGATATACAACAGTTCACACAATCCCACAATGTAACAGTTCTCTTCCCATTTCCTCCCTGTAGTTACCTCTTCCCTGTGTCTTTCTTTCCTATGCATTCCTGCCCCCTGAGCTATTGCCCTGTGCAAATACTGCCCTTCTGTTGTCCCATGATTGATTATTCTAAGGAGTTTATCTACCTGGTGTAAATGTTCACCCTATATGCCTGTCTAGTGTTTGGCTGGAAACCATGGGAGTGAGTTCAATTCCAAGTCTGAAGGGTAACTAGGGGTTATAGTCTCAGGGGTTTCTCCAGGCTCTATCAAACCAGCAGTAAACCTGGTCTTTTTTTTTTTTATGATTTTGAGTTTTGTTCCACATTATTTTCCCACTCTATCCAGGATCTCCTGCACTGATCCCTTTCCAAGTGGTTGACAGTGGTAGCCGGGCACCATCTACTTCTTCTGGTCTCATAGCCATATAGGCTGAGGTTCACATGGCCCGCTAGTCCTTTGGACTAATTGTTTCCATGCATCTTTGGTTTTCTGCGTTCTTTGCTCTGGATGAGAAGAGACCAATTGTTGCATCTAGATAGCCACTTGCAAGCTTTTCTTTTTTTAGCTAGAGATTACTTTATTAGTTTCTGTAATTAAACCCATGTAGACAATGCTTGTAAGCTTTTAAGACCCCAGTCACTACTCAGTGAAGTAGGATAGAATAATGTTTTTGTGTGGTATGTTATGCCAATTGAGCTTGATGTCCCCTGTGACCATGGTCCTGAGCCCACAGGTCCAACAACTCACTCCATCAGGGTGGTAGACTGTGCCTTAGAAGTTATCATAACTTTGCCCCATTCTATTATATGGACATTCTTACAGCATATACAAATAAGTATGTAGAAATATCGTCTGCCAACCTTATGTATGGTTATGGGTATCTTCCCTTTTGCTTAGACATATCTGATCATTCTGCCTGGCTACCCATCTATTTACCCATAGATTAATATTTGTTGTCACTGATAACACAGTATTGTATATGTAAAAGTGCTTATCTTTGTTTTTTTCCCTATCTGTAGGTTCTCTTTCTACTCTTGGAGAAATCTTTTGATGTGCAAAGAATTTAATTTTTAGAAAGTCCCAATCATCTAGTTTATCTTCTGCTGTTTGTGTATCTTGGATTATGCTTCATAGTCTATTTGTGCCATAAATTTGGGCCCCTAAGTTCGCTCCTGTTTTTTCTTTGATGAACTTTCTAGTTTTAGGTTTCACATTTAAGTCTTTGATTCATCTGGAGTTAGTTTTTGTGTATGGTGTGAGGTATGGATAGTGTTTCATTTTTCTGTAAATGGATATCCAGTTTTGCCAGCACCATTTGTTAAAAAGACTATCTCTTCCCCCTTGATTGCATTTTGGCCCTTTGTCAAAGATCAGCTGATCATAGGTGGATGGATCTATTTCTGGGTTCTCAATTTTGTTTCACTGGTTTATGTGTCTGTTGTTATACCAATACAAGACTGTTTTGACTACTGTGGCTGTGTAGTAGATTGCAGGATCTGGGAGTGTGAAACCTCCTACTTTGTTCTTCTTCTTCAATAGTGCTTTGCTTATCTGAGGTCTCTTTTCCAAGGATGTAATCTTTATGGAAACAGAATGCCACATCTTTCTCCCCTGGAGTAGCTGGTGGATTTGAACCACTGACTCTTCAATTAACAGCCAAGTGCTTTACCACTGCACCACTACAGCTCCTTACCACTGCTTAGTGGGTGTGAAAGCTCAAGCTCCCCAGGTAATCTCAAGTAACACCATGGTTGAATAGGAGGGGACCTGCATTATTGCTTGGAGGAGGTGGGAGTCCTGGCTCCCTATTTCACCTTCCGTGACACCACATAGGTGGGTGGAGGGAATGGAATGGTTCCTTACAGCCTGGTAAGGATGGATGATTAGGTTTCCTTCTCATCTGTTGCTGGCCTGAGTGAGTGTGGGACCACAGGTTTTTTTTTTTTTTCTCCAATGTTTGGCTGGAGTAGAGCAATTATTGTTTGAAAATTTTGTATCTCGCTAGGCTGCCCTTTTCCTGGTCCTTTGGCTAGAGAGTAAACTTCTGTGGGGATTTTTTGGCTCTTTTTTTTGGGGGGAGGGGGTCTCTGTCCATTGGCATTCCTGGGTTGCCAGCTTTTTTAGCAAGATATATGAGGCAAAAACCAGAGAGCTTTCCATTGTGTTGTTCCTGGAATTCTGAGGTTCCTAGTCAATCTTCTTCTCTCTACATTTTAGAGTCTAATGTTTGTTTTTTGTACAATGTCCAGGGGTTTTTGTTGTACTTAGTGGGGGGTATAGAGAAAAGTACACCTACTCCCATCTTCCCATAAGCAGATCTAAGTTTTTGTTTTGTTTTTTAATTGTGATTTGGGTGGAAATTTACAGAGCAAATTCACTTTCCATACAGCAGTTCACATACACTTTGTCTCATGACACTGACTACAATTTACCACATTGCAACAGCTCCCCTCCCACTTCCTCCCCATAGTTACCTCTTCCTTATGCCCTTCCCTCCATGTACTCTTGCCCCCTGAGCTGTCTCCCTGTGCATAAACAGTCCTTCTTTCTCCCATGATTGTTCTCTCCAAGGAGTGTATCTACCTAGTGTAAATGTTCACCTCCTATGCCTGTCTTTTGTTTGGTTGGAAGCCACAGGTGTGGGTTCAATTCCAGACCTGAAGGGCAGCTAGAGGCCATAGTCTCAGTGGTTCCACCAGGCTCTATCAGACCAGCAAACCTGGTCCTCCTTTTTTTTCCAAATGATTTTGAGTTTTGTTCCACATTATTCTCCTACTTTATCCAGGATCTCCTACACAGATCCCCCTCCAAGTGGTTGACAGTGGTAGCTGGGCACCATCTAGTTCTGGTCTCATAGTTTTTAGGCTGAGGATTGCATGGGGTACCAGTTGCTTGGACTAATTGTTTTCATGAATCTTTGATTTTCTTCATTCTTCTTTGCTCTGGACAAAGAGAGCCATTGTTACATCTAGATGGCTGCTTGCAAGCTTTTAAGATCCCAGTCGCTACTTGCCAAAGTAGGAGGTGGAATAATGTTTTGTGTAATGTGTTATGCCAATTGAGTTTGATGTCCCCTACAACTATGGGTCCAAGCCCACAGGTTCAGCTACTCGCTCCCTCTGGGTAGCTGGCTGTGCCCAAGAAGTCTAAATATTTTTTTTTCAAGTGATAATATTTTTGTCAGAACATTAAAGTAGTTGAAAAAATACTAAACAGTTGAAAGGTAGATATATTTAAGTTCACAGCATTAAGTTTAAATATTTTATATAGACCAATAGCATTAATTATAATTTTATTTTCCTAGCTGTAATAGAAGCAAACTCATCAATAAAGGTTTTTCAAAATCTACTTCTACAAAAAACAAACAAACATAAAACCATGTATATAGGGCTGTATACTTTTCCTTTGCCTTAGGCTCCAATATGGTGCAGCCTGGCACTATTTACATTTAAAATTTGGATATTTTGTTTATCATGAATTTTTGGCTTTTTTTTTTAAAGAAAATATAATATTAATATATGATTTATCTTGATTGCTGAGTTTTTGGCACCTCCTTAAATTTTGCATCCCATGCCAAGTGCCTAATCAGCCTCTGGAATCCCAGCACTGAGCTAGGCACTCTAGCAGTATTTTGTTTGGATCAAATGGTGGGTGTGCTGTAGAGCTACCTCATAGTTTGTACCTTAACTCAGGGGGGCAGACTAACTTAGGTTTAGAGAAACGACAGCTGAGGAGGCAAGAATCAATCTCCCTGGATGTGAAGGTTCTTCTGGGATAGGACACTCTATACACAGTATGTAAGGATTCCAGAAATGAGGGCCATTTGGCTAGCCCCACCAGGGCACAGGCTGTCCTGTACATGCTAGACATTCCACCAGGGTGGGGCCTCTGCTCTCTCATTCCCACCCACCTGGGACAGAGAAGGTCCCGGAACCTGCATACCATAACAGGAAGAGGAGGAGCTTTCAGGGTCTTTTGAGGACTGGCCTAATATTAGAGGTATTTTTCTCATCTGTCCCTTATGACATCTTTATGGAGTAGGCATTATGATTTCATCTTACAGATGAAGTAGGTTGGGCTGCCCCTTGGGAAGACAATGTCTTGCTGCCATCCTAGCTCTCTGCGTGTTGTCCTGCCTTACCCTTCAGTCTGTGCCCTCTTCTGTGCCAGCTCTGGGCACACACTCAGGAATGCCTGGAACACCTTTCTGCTGCCTGGGCCGTAGGCTCAGCTACCCCAAGAGCAGTTTGATGTCACCCTATTGCCCTGCCCTAGTTGAACACAATGTCCTTCCTCCACCTTCCCACCAAGCCACCCTCCTGCCTCAGCTATTTTTAGGACTTTACACGGTCTTTACCACCAAAGCATTCAACCCTTTCTCAGAGTCTGAACAGGGTACGAATCAGTGATCTTCAGAAACCCATGGCAGGAGCAAAGCTTCCTCTGGGTACCTCCTTTCCATTCTCTCCCTTAGGTCTTTCCCACGCTACTCAGGTTGGTTGGTTGGGTTTTAATTTTTTATTGTGCTTTAGGTGAAAAGTTTCCAGAGCAAATTCATTTCCCATCTAACAGTTTGTACATAAAGTGTCCCATGACATTGGTTGCATTCCCCATAATGAGTCAGCACTGTGCATTTCCACTCAGGTTTCCACATTTCCTTTCATCTGGATTTTCTCTCCACTTCCTGCCTTCTTAGCTTTGCTTTGGCAAATGTTGTCCTTTTGATCTCATATAATTGACTGTTCTAAGGAACACATTCCTCTCAGGTGTTATTGTTTATTATATGGGCCTATGGTTTGGCTAAAAGGTGGTCTCTAGGACCACCTGCAGTTCTCAGTCAGAAAAGTATCTTAGAGGCCATAGTCTCAGAGGTTCCTCCAGTCTCTGTCAGACCAGTAAGTCTAGTCTTTTTGTCAATCTGACTTTTTGTTCTACCTTTTTATCCTACTCTGTCCAGGACCTATTCAGGTTTTGGATGAAAAGGCCAGGTTATGAGAACATCCTGGCTGGGCCTAGGCCTAGGAAGAGGGTGACTTACTACCCATTCCAAGAAAAATATCCATGCTTGTTAAAGCCTACCGGCCTCCAGTGGTGACTAGTTATTAGTCAATTTATCAATGGTTTCCAACCTTGTTACCCCAAACAACCTATCTTATCCTCTTTTCCTTTAATGAAGCCCACACTTCTTATGTTTTTCCTACTATCCAAATAAAACTTTACTAAGTAATGATTGGTTTCCTAGGTTTTAGGCAGTTAAAGATTCATCTAACACTTCCAGTCAGCATGAAATCACCAGTTGCTACACCAAAACTAAAGAAACTTGATGCTTCACTTATTCTGTAAAATGACAAGCATGGTTTAAATGACAACACTAGCTCTGTTGTTGTTGTTATGTGCCATCAAGTCAGACCCAACTTATAGCGACCTCTCCTTGGGCTTCCGAGGCAGTATCACTACGGAAGTAGATTGCCCCATCTTCCTTCCAAGGATTGGCTGGTGAGTTTGAACCTCCAGCCTTCTGGTTAGCAGTCAAGTGCCTTAGGCACTATGCTACCAGAGCTCCTACACTAGCTCTAGGTCTTGCCATTACAGTGGAAAAACTTCAGAGATCATCTTGGTGAGCCTCCTCATTTTTTGGACTAGGGAACTTGCTCAGAGAGAAGTAAATGCCACAAGGTTACATAACAAAACGTCTTTGGGTAATGACTTAGTTTTCCCTGTGAGAAGCTTTTAGAGTTGGGGTCAGGGAGGAGCTATGGTTGGGTGGGGTGAACCCTGAGGCATGGGGAGTGGAGGGCCGGGTTGTGCCTGAGGCTCTCACAGACCCTTCTGCTTCCTGGCTCCCACTGCCTGTAACCTGTTTACAACCGGGTGATGCTTTAGTACCCAGCGGAATTACCATTCTCTCTCCTGATTGGATTTTTCTCCTAAATCTTCCCTCGCTAACCTGGGGCTTTTGTTTTCTAACAACCTGTTTTCTGGTCCCTAACTCTGAATCCCAATCTGGGAGTCATAGATTTGGTAGAGTAACTTTACTGGGAGAGGAGCATGGAAACCCCAACTTTCTTTAAGAGACACACGCCTGAGCCCCAGATACAGGTGCGCAGGGGACTCCCCAGTCCCTTCTAATAGGTTGTGCTTCTCAGGTGACCCGGCGCTTTGGGATTCCAGGGCTGAAGAAAACCATGGACTGGTTTGGCTACTATGGAGGCCCCTGCCGTGCCCCACTGCAGGCATTGAGCCCCACTGACGAGGAGGCACTGCATGCGGATTTTACCAACAACGGCTGGCTCTGAGAGCCAGGTGAGAATCGGCCAGGTCTGAGCCCATCTCAGCCTCTAGCCTTACACCTGCCACCTGAAGGGGAGCACAGGGGAGTTGGGGTTAGAAGTGCCTTTCCCACTCCAGTATTCCAGGTGGCCTCTGCCCAGGCACCACCACTTGCATCTCCTATTCTCACAGCCCCATGACTTCTCATCTTTGTGTCCTAAACACATTGTCTCCAGAGCCCCTCAGTCAGAGAAGGAGCAATTTGTCTCTCTACTGTGGATGCATTCCTATCCTCCAAGACACAGGGACCAGGAGCCAGAGGAAAAGGGCAGGGTAGCAGTTGGACACTGTAGGGAAGTGTGTGTTCAGAAGGGAAGCCTTAGACTTGGCGAGACAAACATGAGTAGCACAGTGCAGCCTGAAGCCAGGGCTGTGCCTAAGAACCTAAATTTTGACTTCTTCCAGGGAAGTCTGTATTGGTTAAGAAACTTGATTAGGAAAGTGTTACTGGTCTTTGAAAGGCTCCCAAGCTGCATTCCAGCTCCACTGCCCTTTCTTAAATCTCCCTATTTTCACTCACTTCATATCCTTGTCTCTAGACTTGGATCCTAACCATTGAAAAGGAAGGAGTACACCAAGACAACAGAGACAGCCCAGAGGCTTGCCAAAATTGCTAAATAATGACACCTGCTGGATAAATGTTATAGTCAGAAGCCTACTCTATCTAGCCAGCCTGGGTCTGAAACACTAGGGAAGGGAACTTGGCGTGAGATAAGACCATCCTCTGCTTTTATCGTTAAAAATAATTACTTTGTTACTGCAATAAAATTTAATAAGTAAAACTAGTGTGGCTATGTACAGATTGACACTCCACTGCTGTACGGATCTGAGGGTCTGTCCCTCTGGGTTTCCTGCCCAGATGCCAAGAACCTTCCTCAAGGTCTGCCTATCTGGTTTTTTAATGTTCATATTTCTACCTTGAAGTTTTTGTGAGAATTAGATGATATTAAAGAATAAGTAAGCAGTCTCAGTTCCAAGCTCCAATCTGTGATTAACTTTTAGAAACAGGAAATGGGTTCATACTCATGAAGACCTAGCACAAGAAAGTCAAGAAAACTTAGTGTAGGCAGTCTGGTGATTTGTTTATTCCTCAGAAACACTTGTTCCTACAGTATAATTCAGAGGTTAAACAGAGGCACACGGCTACGATTTCCACCATAGTCTGCTGTTGAGGAGACATTCAGTGTGAGGATAAGGGACTAAAGGGGCATTTGGGTCACAGGATAACTAGAGGCCTCCATGATACACTGGATGGGGACCCTATCAGCTGAGATCTGACCCCCAGGCCTGATGGCCAAGCTCAGGGTGGAAGAGATAAGGTGAACCAGATGCAAAGCGCCAAGTGCTCTTTTAGTTTATCATAGTCCTGGATGGGTTCAATTTGACCTAAACCCAAGGGGCTGAGGTCAGCCCGACCTACTGGTTCACTGGGAAGGAACCCTGTCAGCCCGAGCTATCCAGAAAGGTTCAGTTTACTCCATGGTATGGCTGAAGTGGCCTAGATATGTCTGCCTTTCCCTGGAGGAAATAATAAATGCAAGTTATGAAACTACTGTTTACATCAGTTTCTTTCTTGACTATCCCATGAAGGGGTCCTGTCCCATACCCAAGGAGAGTGGCACAGATGGGTACTCTCTGCTGGAACTCAGGGAACGAAGGGAGCTTGTAAAGTTGAGGGAGAGGGAAATAGCAATTACAGAATCCCTCACAGGGGAAGAAGCAGAGACAAACCCCAGGCTGTGCAGCAAAGGAGAAGGCCTGGAGCCATGACTCTAACCAGCAGTAAATGAAGGGGTAATATACAGAAAAGCTCTTGACTTCCACAGGATACTGTACTAAGATGCCCCTATCTCTTTCCTTATTTCTCACGGCAGCACAAAGCACTGGCCCTAATTTGAGACTATGTAGGCAGGATGAAGACATTCTGCATAACTTGGCAGAAAATGAAGTAGAGGGCAGCAGCAGGCCTGCTCTGGGTGACCCAAGGTTTAAGGAACAGAGTACCAACTAGTGGGAAAAAGAGGCTCCTCTGCCCTCTAGCACATAAGCACAGTAGGTCTACTTAAGAAGGGAAAGACAGCACTGGTAACAACTGCTGCAGGGTCTATGGGCCAGAATCCTCAGAAGTTTCCTGTGAGCTAATTCTTGGCCAACAGGTAATGGGGCACACCACAATGCTTCTGTACGACAGTCCTTCTCGTCTCAGGTCTAGTCCATTGGTCCACCTCTAGTGAATAACTGGGATGGACATCCGAGTTACCCAACACTTGCCATCTGGTGCACACGCCCTATCAGGCGGTGAGGTTCCTGGCTGACTTGGAGGCACTCTGGGCCCGCTGAACTACTGCTGAACACTTCTCACGCCGCAGCAGCTTATTGTTCTCAAAGAGACCTTCATTGCGGGGTATCCCATGAGAGCCATCAGGGAAAGTCAGCAGGCCTTTGAGGAGGACAGAGAAAATATGGGCATGATGACGGCATTAACGTATCAAGAGATCAGCTCACTACATAGAGGCCTAGGAAAAGGGACAACTCACAGCTCTACTCAGGAGTACTCTATAGGGAAGTTCAATGTCTAGGCATTCAGGCACAATCACTGTGGATTGCTGGACATCCACCAAAGAATTAAAGCTGAAGAGGTATATTTCCACCCATATCATGATCAGCTAAGTCACCCATTCTGCTGGGCTGCAACTTACCAAAACCATCTACTCGGCCATTTTTAAACTCCCCTTCAAAGGTCATGTTGTCGTGCCGAATGAAGACTCCGACGCCATTGAACTTGCCCTGGGCAAACTCCCCCTCATACCTGCACAACACCAGCATGTTAGCCTTTTTGGGTTGGTAAGGAGTTACCTGTGCAAGTTAACTGAGTCAAGGACCTACCAATGAAATAATGTCAAGAACAAAGTAGATTCCACTTGTCCTAGAGCTCCACTCTCCCAGCAAACCCACTCCCAACCAACACAGAAAGGTCAGACAGTATGTATGATATGAAGCCCTAAGGTCAAGAAAAGAACATAGGCTCATGGAAGTGGGGTGAAAGGTGACTCACCTCCTTCCCATTTCAAATTTTAGATCTACTTAAAAAGTAACTAATAAAAGAATTGCTTATTCCTTGCTTGTTTTCTGCAGGGTCTAAGATAAGCTCGGGATCAACCAGATGTTTATCACGTCCCATTTTTTCATTATAGCCTCCTAGCCTAAAGCTGAGAAAGGAATGACCCAATACCCACCTTGTTTCTACAGTATAATTCAGAGATTAAACAGAGGCACACAGCTATGATTTCCACCACAATCTGCTGTTGAGGAGACATTCAGTGTGAGGATAAGGGACTAAAGGGGGCATGTTTGGGTCCCAGGGTAACTGTGAATCAACTTACCTTGAACCTTCTGAGAAGGTCAGTACCCCAAATCCATTAAACAGCCCATTTTCAAAATGACCCAAGTAGGTACCACCATCTGCAAACATCAGTTGACCAAAACCATGTCTACGTCCTGAACAATGAGAAAAGACAGGTGTCCAGTTGGAATGGTGCAGCTTGAGGGTACCTTCTCACTCATATAGCAACCCCTACCTTCTGACACCCCAACCACAAAGGAAAGAACAGAAGTAGCAACATTAGGAGGGCAGAAAACTATTACCCTGAGCCAGGCACCTAGAAAACCTGGCTCCCCGGACCTTCCCATCTTAAGTCGCAACTATCACGTTTAGAGGAGGTCCTTCCATGTATGAGAGATAAACATGGACTTAAAAATTACAATAACATTTACAGAGCCTTTACAGTATAGAGCCTTTATAGAGCCAAGCATTCTTTTAACCACTTTGCATTTATTACCTTATTTAATCTTTATGACAACCTTATGAGGCAGGTATAGTACTACTATTATTTCTATCTTATTGATGAGGAAACCAAGGCAAGGAGAAGCTAAAATAACTTAAGATCACATAACTGGTACAGCCAGAATGCAAACACAGGCAGCCTGCCTCTAGAGCCCTCAATGTTTACTGTACAACATTGCCTCTGAGGAATAACAACAGTGCCCCTTAGCACCGTGAAGCTACTGGGCAAACCTAACAGCCTCGCTGGCAGCAGTGGTTTGAATTTTGCTTCATCAGTAGGGCTGGGTTCACCCACTGAACTGACCAGAAAACAGAGCAAGATGAAGAAGGAGCAATAATACTTAAAACAGAGTACCAGGGAGTCCTTTTGCTAGACTGACTGCCCAGGAGAGCCTCAGAAGTCTCATCTAAATGAGACTGCAGGTATTTAGGAGGCAAGAGAAAAGCCTTGGGAAGTAAGAGGCAAGGTCTCATCATAGCTGCACAATCTCTCCTCTCAAAGCTAACGAATTCATCAGCTGCAGGACTCTATCGTGAAAGGAATGAGGTGCATGTCTGGTAAAAGCTTGACCCACTTCACCTGCAAAGCTGTAGAAAGTCAAGTCTAAGTCTAAGACTGGGCCCAAGAGACCTTAAAGGACCAGATTGTGTGCCAAAATGAACATCATTAAAATGCTTCTTGTATAGTCTTGGGCTCTAAAGAATTTTGTTACCATTCCTAGGAACAGATACTTTCAAATGTAATAAGTCACAGGAAATTCAAACACCATCATTTGCTCTTGAATGTCTGCCCAAATTTCCAGATCTTCCTTAAGATTCATTTGGAACCAAGTCATTTCAATGAATTCCGTACTCTCTAATTTATGGACACTTAAAATATTTTTAAAAATTCATTTTACTCTGCTGGGTACATTCTCACTGCCACCGAGTTGGATCCGACTCATAGTGACCCCTCCTTGGGTTTCTGAGGCGGTATCACTACAGAAGTAGATCGCCCAATCTTCCTTCCAAGGAGTGGCTGGTGGGTTTGAACAGCCAGCCTTCTGGTTAGCAGTCAAATGCCTTAGGAACTACACCACCAGAGTTCCCCTAGGTACATCAGCATTTATAAAAATAATTGCCAAATAACACCATTAAAGGATATTAAGACACTTTAAATTTAGAACTAGAAAGATTTAACTCATTTCTGGAGGTTGGATTAA